TGAAAGAATATTCTAGGAATGGTGAGTCTGGAGCTTGGGTGGGTGGGTGAAGCTAGGACTGGAGAGAGAGGAAGTATGCCCTGAAATGTAAAGGGCTAACAGCACAAAAGCTATTCAGACTTCATTCTTCTCATGGAAATAAACCAAGTAGAGAAAATGGAGTAACAGATGCTTGGTTTCAGGTTTGCAATGGGTACCGGATCTCGAAGGATGTACAGGAAAATTGGAGTTGGAGGCAATGCGTCATACTGGCTCTCTCAGGTCAATCCAAGAGATCAGGAAAGGCCTCTTGCACAGGACTTGGTGGTTCATAGGCAACTAGAAAGGCAGCCATGCTCCCTGGGGACAGCTTGCACAGGGTCTGTTGATGATTTTGGAAATCCTGACATCAGTTAGTGGTCTACCAGTTATGACTCTGTCAAAGAAAGGTTTCACAATTCAATATGGTTTCCACCATTATTTTACCTATCTAGTTAACAACCCGTTGAAAACAAATACGATAGTGTTGAAAGAAATCTGAAGCACAAATGCACAAGCCCAGGGCTGGTGGCTCATGCCTATAATCCTAGCTACTCAGGTGGCTGAGATCTGAGGATATGGGTTTGAAGCCAGCCTGGGCAAGCAAACCTCAGAGACTCTTATCTTCAATTAACCAGCAAAACATCCAGAAGTGAAGGTATGGCTCAAGTAATAGAGCACTAGCCCTGAGCAAAAAAGCTCAGGGACAGCCCCCAGGCCCTGAGTTCAAGCCCTAGGAGGAGAAAAATAGAGCACACATAACTTCAATGTGGAATTAATGAAATAAAGAAGGAAGGAATGACATGCCTATGCAGATTCTTTTGTGAAGATATCTGGGGATGTCTGGGAAGACCAGCAGACTCTTGGAGCAGTAGAATCTGAGCTGAGACCTCAAGTTGAGAGTGTTTGAACATGGTGAATGTATTTAGGGGAAGAGAAAAATGATGAGATTTGTGTGAGTAGCCAAAATAGCACCAACAAATAACTGTTGTTAATGTGTGTTTTTTTTTTAAAGAATTCTCAGACTCCCTGTTTCCATGGAAACAGAAATGGTATCCCATACCCTCTTTCAGGCTGTACCTGGATGGACTGCTCTGCCTGGCAGACAGTATGTATTATATTAGATAACCAGCTGGGTTTGTAATTAAAGACCTGAGTTCATACTAACATCCCAGTCAGCTTCAAGCCAAAAAGGGAAAGAAGCAGTGCTGGCTGGGACTCTCAAAGCCTAATTTACTCTTTTCCCTTTCTGTCTCCTTTCTCTTCTTTTTCTTTTCCTTCATTTTTAATTTTGTTCTGATTTCTTTTCCTCCCCTTCTTTGTTCCATGTTCCTGATGAATCTTTTTTTTCATAAGTTTATTAAATCATTATAGGTATAACTCTGTACCAAATACCAGCTACCACATGTTATTTATTTTAGTGTGTGTGTGTGTGTATGCGTGTGTGCATGCGTGGACACATGCGTGTGCCAGTCCTGGGGCTCAAACTCAGGGCCTGGGCCCTGTCTCTGAGCTTCTTTTGCTCAAGGCTCACACTCTACCACTTGAGCCATAGAGCCACTTTTCTGAATATGTGGTACTGAGGAATAGAACCTACAGCTTTTTCTGTGTATGTGGTACTGAAAAATAGAACCTAGAGCTTCATGCATGCTAAGCAAGCACTCTACCACTAAGCCACATCCTCAGCCCTTTTTGATTTTTAAAGCAATATAGAGTCTTTATATCATAATAGTATGCCTGAAATATTTTATTTGGGTACCTTCTGGGTTTGTTCTTAATTCATTCTTCAAAGTATCTGTGATCCAGACCTCAGGGAAATCTTCAAACCTGGAGCTTAAGTATTGAACAGTCCAAACACATATCACATACACTTAGTATTCAAGAAAAAAAGAACTTCTCACTTAATAAAAGCACATTTATTTGACCATGCTTGCCAGGCACAAAGTTCAAGATTCCACATAGAACACACTTAAAAGTTACCAATGATCCTTGTTCTTAAGCACAGTCGCTCTCCCTGGGTATCTCCAGTGCTCCAGGTCCCAGGTCTTGGCCATGCATTTATGACCCTGGCCTGTCTGTCAATACTTCATACCCCACTGCTTCTCCCAGACATTTTAGCTTTCCCAGTCTGGGGGCTATTCTCATCTCTGGATAGCATTTATTCTTTTTAAAAAAATATTTTCTTTTAACTTTATTTAGTTTTTGTTTATGTGGTACCAAGGAATTAAACCCAGGGTCTCATGCCCGCCAGGCAAGCACTCTACCACTGAGCCACCTTCCCCCCCAGTATCTATTCTTATGTGTGTGCTGAAGTGTTTTGCAATGAGGAAACTTTTTTCCAAGATTTTAATCTTTGAACTTTTTATTTGTGCAGAATGATTTTTTGTAGTCGTAGGGCCTGAACTCTGGGCCTGGGCGCTGTCCCTCAGCTATTCAGCTCAAGGCTAGCGCTCTACCACTTGAGCCACAGTGCCACCTTGGTTTTTTCTGCTTATGTAATGGTGAGGACTAGAACCCAGGACTCATGCATGCAAAGCAAGCACTCTATCACTGAGCCACCTTCCCAGCCCTTTGTGCAGCCATTTTAATCTTCTACATTCTTTTTCCTTTCTTGATGGATGCTCAACTCTTCCAGACCCACAAAGTAACAGATTAGAAAATCTTTAGTAGTCTAGGTTTAAATAAACAAATTTGCTCTGGTGGAATTGATGTTGCTATGAATGGTTGTAGAAAGAAACCTCTATACAAAGATATCTGATCTGTAAGATGTATAGGACACCATTAAATGCGAGTGAGAATTGTTTCAGATTGCAATGTTTCAACTTCAGTACTGGGGATATAATTCTTTAATGTAATATTAACAGAATAATGTCCATTTTTTCTTATACATCAGAGCAGAAGCTTTTGTATTTCGTCTGTGTGTATGTGTGTGTGTGTGTGTGTGTGTGTGTGTCCTAGGGCTTGAACTCAGGACCTGGGCACTGTCCCTGAGCTCTTTTGCTCAAGGCTAGTGCTCTGCCACTTGAGCTACAGTTCCTCTTCTGGCTTTTGGGTGTTAATGTGAGCTAAAGAGTCTCACAGACTTTTCTTCCTGGGCTGGCTTTGAACTGAGATCCTTAGATCTCAGCCTCCTGAGTAGCTAGGATTACAGGTGTGAGCCACTGGCTTACCTGAAGAGGCTTTTGTTAAATTAGCATGCATTGGTAGTACAAAAGTTCTTCACTTCCATATATACAGATAATGTACTTGGCTTGCATTCACCCTCTCTATTGCTCTTTTCTTAAATCCTGGTTTTATTTTTTACTTACAGTTTTTATTGGGTTTCCTCATCTATTTTCATAGGTGCATATGATATACTGAGATCATATCACCCCCATCTTTACCCTCACCACCCTCTTCTTTCTCCATTCTCTCCTCCTAGTGCCCCCACCCAAAATCCCCCTTTTACATTCATGTCCTATTTGTTTTCTAGGCCTAAATTCCACAGATGAAGTAAGACATGAACTATTTATCTTTCTGAGCTTGGCTTTTCAAATGTGGGGGGTCTCATATATATGTTATATTTTACATATTTTTTCCCCTGGTGCCAGACTCAGATCAAGATCTTTCTGCTTACAACCTATCCCATAGCTGGGATTATGGCTATGCACCGCATGGTTTATTAACTGAGATGAGGTCCTGTTAACTTCCTTTCTAGACTGGCCTCAAACTGCAATCCTCCCAACCTCCACCACCTATATTCTGGATTAAAGGTAAACCACTATACCCAGACATAGATAGTTCCTTGGATCTGGTTTTAAGATAATTGCCACTATAACACAGAATATCCTAGACATGCAAGACTATTCATCTTTATCTTAAAAGAAGTGAGAAGCCATTGAAAGAATTTAAATGTGACATGACTTATTTAGTGAAATTTAAAGGATTTGGTGCCTTAAATCATAAATAAGAATGTGGAATGAGAATCAGGGGGGACTGAGTACTTTGGAGGAAAAATGACAGTTGCTTTGTTATGGAATTGCCAGCATCTAGAGGTAAAATGTGGAAATATGGAGCCATGTCACCTTTCCAATGAGGAGAACTTAGCCAAAGCCTCACTGGATGACAACGGACCCATGATAAGGAAGCCAGTTAAACCCTTATTTTGCTTGCCTACTGATTTGACTTAACTGAGTTTTTTGTCAAGTTAATTGGCACAAGATAGTTCCTGGTGGCTCACACCTGTAATCCTGCTCCTCAGGAGGCTGAGATCTGAGGATCACAGTTCAAAACCAACCTGGGTAGGCAAGGCTGTGAGACTCTTATCTCCAATTAATGACTAAAAAGCCAAAAGTGGAGCTGTGGCTGTAGGGGTAGAACACTAGCCTTGAGCAAAAAATCTCAGGCCCCAAGTTCAAGCTCCAGGACAGGTTAAAGAAAAAGGGTTGCCAGCTATGATGGTTTGGTTCAAAACGACACCAAAGTGTGGTCCTCAACATGAAATACAACTCCCATAATGAAATATTAGACACCAATGATGGTACTTTTAGGTGGGATCGTCCACAGGTGATGAGGATTAGCTGACATCATTAAGGTAGCACCCCTGTGGCCCAATCACAGAGGCTTCTATTGAAAGAAGGCAGGACCAGAGGAGATGCAGACACAGCGGGCACATTTCTGCTACCCTACCCGCAAGGAGGTTATCACCAAGGTGGCCCTTGGCCTTACAGAACTGTGAGCCAAAATTAATTGCTTTTCTTTATAAAGTCACCAGTCTGAGAGGTTGTGTGTTAGCAATCTAACATGAACTACTTATCAGGATGGCTTACTCCATTCTCAGTCTCTGATGGACACACAGGTGAAGTCATCTTTACTCTTAAGGCACATAAAGTTTATGTCGTGACCAAAGACAAATCCCACAGCCTTTCAGCGCCCAGTGGGAACTCAGCACAAGGCTCTGGGGGCTGGCGGGGCACACACCTGCCTTTTGTCTTTCAGGCGACATCTGGAAGATGGCTGAGCACAATACTTCTGGGAATTCCTCCTGCGATCCTCTTCTGACGCCCCATCTCACCAGACTCTACTCTGTCGTGCTCCTGGGGGGCCTGACAGGTATCATAGCTATCTTGTTCTGGCTGGTGAAGATGAACTCCCGCTCAGTGACCACCACAGCCGTGGTTAACCTGGTGGTGGTCCATGGAGTCTTCCTGCTGACCGTGCCGTTACGCCTGGCCTACCTCATCCAGGGCACCTGGGCATTCGGTCTGCCCTTCTGCAAATTCGTGAGTGCCATGCTGCACGTGCATATGTACCTCACCTTCCTCTTCTACCTGGTCATCCTGGTCATCAGGTACCTCACCTTCTTCAAGGGCAAGGACAAGGTGGAATTCTACCGCAAGTTGCACGCGGTGGCTGCCAGCGCAGCCCTGTGGATCTTGGTCATCGTGATTGTGGTACCTGTGGTAGTTTCTCAGTATGGGAATCGAGAAGAATATGACGAACACCACTGTTTCAGATTCCATAAGGAGCTTTCCCGTGACTATGTGCAGATTCTCAACTATCTGATAGTCGTGTTTGTCATCGCCACAGCGGCCCTTCTCCTGGGATTCCAAGTCTTCCTCACCGTCTCCATGGCCAGGAGGCTCCGCCACTCTTTACTGTCCCATCAGGAGTTCTGGGCTCAACTGAAAAGCCTAGTTTTCATAGCTATCATCCTGGTTTGTTTTCTGCCCTATCAGATCTTCCGGATCTATTACCTGTATGTGGTCGGCCACTCCAAGGGCTGTAACCACAGCTTTGCCTTTTACAACGAAATCTTCTTGAGTGTGACAGCAATCAGCTGCTGTGACCTGCTGCTCTTTGTTTTAGGGGGGAGCCGGTGGTTTAAACAGAGGATCACTGACTTGTGGAACTGCCTTCTGTGCTGTTAGCCAACACCAGAGTATTTACTTCTTTATAGGCAGGGCCCGGGGGAAGGCTGGATCAAAACCTTGCTTGATTCAGCAAGACTAAAGGATTATAAAATATCAGAGCACTTGTCCCTGCTCATACTTGGTCCCTGTGGTCTCTGAAGGAGAAGACCCAGGAAGCTACAGTTGTACAGTGCTGGCCAGGACACAATGTCTACATGCCCCGTCCAGGCAACATGGTCCAACAGGTGCTAGAGATTCATTAAGACTTCTTTAATTTTGAGGTTTAAAACATGATCTTTTTTTGGTGGTGGAGGTTATGTTCAACTACTTTTTTATTTTTTACTTCACTTTGATTAGGTCAATCCTAATCAGAAGCTAGCTCCAAAGGCACAAAACCACACTTGGATAACCAGACAAGAAAGTCCATTCTGTTCACGGCATGGCAAAACGCAGATAAGGAGATGAATAGAACAAAACATTTATAGATTATCTTAATTTATCCAGATCAAAGAGAAAGTCAGGACTAACACAGGTTTTCTTGATTTGTGTTTAGAAAGATTGAGTTCGACATGGGGAAATAACTGCTCAAAACCACCAATTTTGTTCTGTTTTTCAAAAAGTTCTAAATATGCTGAACACACCTAAATAGTGGTAAAACTACCCTCAGAACATTCTGGCTGAGCACAGGTGCCTCACGCCTGTAATCCTAGCTACTCAGAAGGCTAAGATCTCAGATCTTGGATCAAAGCCAGCCCCATCAGGAAACTCCATGAGATTCTTATCTCCAAGAAACCACTAAGAAACGGGAAGTGGTGCTGTGGCTCAAGTGGTAGAGCGCTAGCCTTTAGCTGAAGAGCTGAAGGACAGTGCCCAGGTCCAGAGATCAAGCTCCACAACCAACCAACCAATCAACAAACAAACAAACAAAATTCTGGACCAGTGGGCTGCTGACAGTCAAATGAATTCCTAAGGGAGATAATCTCTCCCTTCCTTACCTTTTCTCTTTGTGTGTGTGTGTGTGTGTGTGTGTGTGTGTGTGTGTGTGTGTGTGTGTTCACACACATGTGTGTGTTTGATTTCTGGTCAACTTTGGCCACAGTTTAGTAGAAGGGTTTTTTCGGGGATAGGAGTGGGAAGGGGACATGAAGTTATACTAAAATCTTTAGAGTTCAGTCACTCTTAAGGTTATATAGCTTTTTGTTTGCTTGCTTTTGTTTTTGTGTTGGTCATAGGGCTTGAACTCAGGGCCTGGGTGCTGTCCCTGAGCTTTTTTTCCTCAAGGCTAGTGTTCTACCACTTGAGCCACAGCTCTACTTCTAGTTTTTTTGGTAGTTAATTGAAGGTAAGAGTCTCACAGACTTTTCTGCCCAGGCTGGCTTTGAACTGTAATCCTCAGATGTCAGCCTCTTGAGTAGCTAGAATTACAGGTGTGAGCCACCAGTACCCAGTTAAACTATGTGTTCTTATATAAATGAAAACTACGTTATTAAAAAAGAAAAGAAAAAGTTTTCAGAAACACTTGGAATAACCATTGTTTTAGACTCTATGAAATTATCCTGCATTTAGAAGTTTTCTGAATATTTAAAGAATGAATGAATAAATGTACTTCAAAGTGATAAAAAAAATTGTAGCCTTTAAAAATATTGAATCATGTGGGTTTTCTTACCACAGTCTGAGTAATATGTTGTAAGTTGATTCATAACTTACAACATATGCCACATTGAACTATATTAAATGATTATCTTTAGAGCTTCTATAAACATTTGTTTGTTCCTTTGTTTTCTTTTCCTCCTACTCATATAATACTCCACAGCCCTCACGGTTTTATTAACGTGAAAGTTCCCAAGGAGCTATTCCGCTCTCATACTTAATGCTTCAGAAAACCTCAAGTGATTCATGGTATGAATAGAAGAACAAGCACATTAAGAGACCTTTCTTGTCCCAGAAAAGGACCTTTTTCCTTCTCATCTCCATCTCCTTCTCTCTCTCCCTTTCTCTTTCCAGTCTCCCTCTTTTCTTTCTTACTCACTTTTGTTTTTGTTCTCAGGAAGATATCATCTTAAATATCAAAAATAAAGCCAGGCTCCACTGGCTCACACCTGTAATTCTAGCTAGCTACTCAAGAGGCTGAGATCTGAGGATCACAGTTCAAAGCCACTCCAGGAAGGAAAGTCTGTAAGGCTCTTATCTCCAATTAAGAACCAAAAAAGTCAGAATTGGAGCTATGACTCAAGTGGAAACATTCTAGCCTTGAGCAAGAAAGCTCAGAGACAGTGCCTAAGCCCTGTGTTCAAACCCCAGGACCAGCACACAAATACACAAACACACACACACACACACACACACACACACACACACACACACAGGTCAAGAATAGATGCCAAAAATCCACACATCCTTTCTTCAAGTCTCTCCACCTTCTGTCAGACCTGCAGTCTTCAGTTCATGAGGATCCAACGCTACAGGCCAGCTCTCAACTGATGCTCAATTCAACAGTCCATTGGGCTGTCATGTTCTTTGATTGCTCAATTGCCTTGCAGAATTTCAGTAACAGCAGTGCACATGTGCACAGCAATGACCACATTACTGAGCTGAGCAGTGACGCAAACCTGACCAAGGCACTGGGTTTTGTTAGGTGTATTAGCCCCGGTTAAGATGCTTTACAATTAGGAGATCCGATAGATGTAGTGGGAACTCAGGCCTGCAAACACTAAGCAGAGAGAGAAAGTTCACAAAGGAAAAGGAACTGGGAGATGTGAAAGGAATGCTATTTTCCCAGTAAGACCTCACACCTGAACACATCCTAGTCAAGGATTTGAATTGTAAAGACAAAGAACAAATGTCAGTAAAGCTAAGCAAGAGAAGGCCTTACTAGTAAGATATCCAACAATTAGGTAGCTGTTAAATATTTTCTCTCACAGTATAAAGGCTGGAAGATGAGGAACTTGGGGTGTTGGGGAGATGAATACCTATTGGGTTTTGTTGATCATGTCATGGCTGTACACTCTGGGAGCAAGCAAATAGTTATGTGTGCTCCTTGTGAACAAAGGGGATTCGGGGGCATTTCCCCCCGGGAGATTGTGGATGATCACCTGGCAATCAGGGTTTCTCCAACATTATGATTTTCCCCCAGGAGGACAGTAACTCTCCTTCACCTTGAGACCCTGTCATCACTTTCCCAAAGTTGCTTGAAAATCCCTTCACAATAGGATTCCTTTCTTCCCACTGAGTCTGTTTCTTCTGTGGTTCTTGCAGGAGAAAGGCCTTTTCCAGATTCCAGCTGCTTGGACTCATGTCTGTGCCCATCACCTCTGTGATATTAAGGAAGTTAATATTTCCTTGGTCATTTCAGTTGGTATTGGTTTTGTATGCTCTTCCCCTTTGAACCATCTTCAACATTTTGCCTTGCATTTAAATTTTATCTTCATGTTTAGTTTCAGAGCATTATATCCTAAAATGTTCTACCATTGTAGAAAACTTCCCTTTCATTGTCTTCATTTTTATCATAACCCACGGACTTATAAATTCACCTTGAACCTCTTTATAGGAAACACGTACTTTGAATTTTATGAATGGTTCAGAATTGGCTGACACACTTCACAGGTTTTTTTTCCCTTGTATTATTCCAAAAAACATTTTCCCAAGGTGCTCTCTTTACCATTAGAATAGTTCTTGTGGACTTGGTCCCACGTTATCTTTTGCTCCTGTTTAAGTGTTTCTTGGTGATAAGAAATCAAGCAGGCCTCAACAGTCCCTTCAATGGAGGTAGTGACTTCCTTTCAACAACTGCTTGTCAAGGTCATTTCTGGTGCCCGTAACTAGCCTAGAGGCAGGACAAAGGCTACAGGGATTTTAGAAAACTCTCCCAGACTCACAGATTCTTATTTATGATTGCTAAGGCCACTGTGCTGATGCCAGCTCTGTGTGCCCAGACTAACTCTGGGTGAAGCTCTATCCTTGTAGCCAGCCCTCCTCCACCCAGGAACAATGAACTTCTATATAACCTATTAGTCTTAAATGGGAGGTGATGGAGACAATGAGAAATGCAAGGGAGAGAGTCTTTTCTGAAGTTAAATATATTCACTGTTACATCACAAAATAGAATTTCATAATCTACCTGTATGGTATTACAACCCAATGGAAATATCAAAAACACAAATTATAAGAATATGTTTATATGACTTACATGATGTTGGTTGTGGTTCTAGCAGCACAGAGATAATTTTCTTGGCAATATCAGTCAATTTCCAGTCTTTGGCCTCGGGTTCCCCTTTGGCTCAGTTTTGTGTATCATAGAGATATGGAATCTTGTGACTGCTGTTGCTATGACAACAATTTAAGATTGAAGTTCATGGTAGATATCCAAGAAGTGAATACACATGGAATGGAAAGAACTTAATTGGGGCATATTAAATTTTTAAATTAATTCTTTAATGCATAGTAGAAGGTTAAAATGCTGAATTTATTTTTTTAAGTATAAGTTTATTGTTATGATTAGAGTGCTGTTCAGGGTGGTTACCATTCCATACATAAGTCAGGTAATGAGTACATTTCTCTTTGAGGACAATGTTACCCCTTACTATGCTTTCCCCAGTTTACCCCTCCTATCCCTGGACACAAGGTGCATAGTTCATTTAAAAATGCTACATTTGCTAAAGGGTAGTTTGGCCTAGAATATTTGAATTTTCTTTAAAATATCCAATAGGGTGAAAATGTGTGCATGATATATTGTGTTAGAGATAAGAAGGGCAGAGAAAATTCTGTCTACCCTTCTGAGGAAACACAGTTACTAAAAAAAAAAAAAAATGAGATTCACATATTCAGTTTCGACTCACTGAGCTCAGTGAAGAGGATCAACTATAGTGCATGATATAAATGGACTTTCTCTACTGTGACGCTTTGTAACCACAAAACTTTTTAAGATTCTGAAATATCAGACCCAGCTCTAAATGATCACTTAGCTCAAAATGTTAAAACCACAAAGTTGTGACAGTTTCACGAATGCCCCCATTATTTTA